CAGTAGACTTGATTGGCTGAATGGCCCCCTTCTGCTTCTGTTCAGACTTCACATATTGATGGACAGTGCTAAGTATATTCTAAAAAAATAGACAGTCGAGATATAGTATCAATGGGAAAGATAGATGGAACAAAAACAAAGTTGCTGGAAAAGCTCAGCAGATCTGGCAGCATCTGTGGAGGAGAAAACAGAGTTAATGTTTTGGGTCCGGTGACCCTTCCTCAGAACTGTTTTTTTGGAAAACATCAGTTTATATACAGAAAATAGGGAGGTGGGTGGGGTAGGGAGTAAACGATAAGATAGAGCCCAAAGAGAGAGAAAGACAGTTGGACAGACAAAGGAGTTGCTAATGAAAGATAGATGCTTAGTTTACAAATACTCATTCTTCAGATTGTAGGTAGAAAAACCCATTTGTGCTCCTGGATGAATCTTTATTATGAAAATAAAGTGTTGCTAAGGAACATATTGAGCAGAAACTACATACTTCTTTTATTAATTTAAATTTATGACTGTAAATTAGTAATATGATTCATGATGATTAATATTATTCCAAATTCCAATATATTAGTTCCAAGGAAACAAATTAGATTTTGTTTATGATGGTCTTGTGGTTTTGGTTTTGCAATCCATTGATTTCAAGCACTGATTGACTGCTCACAATTCTACAAAGTGATGCTAAATAGTATTATCTATGGAGTAGAATTTCTGTGGGATCAGTCCCGACCTCCTGCAATGACTGTGATGAAAACCCTGATGGAAAAGCATAAGCAGTTATTTGTACCACTTATCAAATGTTATGGCCGATCTTAACCTCTGCCAAAGTCATGCTTGGCAATCGACAGAACAAGTGTAGAAATTCCAAAATCACATCACCAAATACCGGGAAAAGCAAAGTGATATTCCTAATAAAAATGTAGAACAGAACTATACCCTTTAATGAAGTGTCGTTTAATATATATGGAAGGTCACTACTGACACACCGGGCTGAGCTATTCTTGCATAATCCTACAACTGGTCAGCTGCATACAGCACTCACGCAGTGGCAAAGATCACAAGTGCTTTTTCCTCTATATTTACATATTTAACATTTTTTACACTTCTAAATATTCCTGCTTGCATCTCAATCAGACATTGTTAAAGTGCACAGAATTACTAGCTTCGGCTAAGTTCAGTTAAATCCCTTGGTAATTACCAATAGACAAAGCAGTGAATCGAAGTTTCAATTTTTCCTTTGCCACTTATTGATAAATTCAATAAGCTTTGGTTGTTATAAAATCAGAATCCTTTGTACATTATGAAATTGTAGTTTGCCATATTTAATTGAACACACAGTCATCTAAATTTTCCAATTAAGATTTCTGATTTAATGCCTACAATGAACCATTCATTCTTACATTTATTTCAATACCAGCATAAAGCATTTGTGTTGAAGTACATTTTATCACTTTCAAAAAAAAATTAAAATTAGCAGTTAGTGCCGCTACTTGTCAACCAAAAGAGGACATATTAGAACACACTGTTACAGTAATTAATCATATTAAAGTTTTGTTTTGCTATGTTGAAGGAAATATTATGTGCTATTAGGAGAAAAGAGAAAGTGATCTCAGGAACCTAGGTAGCCTTTCATTCAGAACATACACTCATCTCCCCATGGCTCAGATTCCGAGTACTTTCCAGGCATTGAAACAGGCAAAAAAAAAACATGATTTCATATATTCTAATTATTTGGTCCTAATGACTATATCCTGTCAATTCTCAAATCTAGCATAAAACGGAGAAAGCAGTAACAGAATTTTAATGAAATGTTGATTCCAGTGAGTCCGCCAACACAACACTTGAAAATTGCAGCTTTGCAATTAAAACTGGGCAATTATACAAAACTGAATAAAGACAACCATACTCTAAAGGAGTTCTTGGAGTCTGTTGAGATGTTACATGTAAGCAGCAGGTTACTTTTGCTAAATTAAGATACTGTGATGCAATTTCACAATCACTGTGCAAACAAATATTAACTAGAGAATCATCTGATCCTAACTTGCTGTAACCAAGCAACACTGTCCTAGAACTTGATACACAGCACTATCAATTTTGCAGTCTTTTATATATCATTAGTATGACCAAAAATATTCTCTGCTGAAAAGTTCTGAATAAGCGTTCTTTTATGACAATCCATACAAATGGAATAATTAGATTTTATTCAAAGGGTTGATGCGTTGTCAGTAAATGTAGTTTCTTGTAGGCTTTTTGGAAGTTTGACCTGTCCAAGCGTTTCACACACTGAAATAATCTCAATGAGTCCTGTTCCACATTTGTAAAATAAAATTTTTTTGGCTTCCAGTACAACAGTTAATCACTGTAATGACTACTGATTTGTTTATGCTTTTTTGCTAGTTATTTAACAGGCATTAATTGAATTTTCCTTGCATTGAATCTTGAAATTAAAGATTAAAGACTAAAATTAATTGAATTTTGACTTGTATTGGTCAGTCCGATTTAGGTTCCACTCTCTACAGATGGCAGAGCAAGCGTGATAGGCTGCACGACCGACTCCTGTTCCAATGTTTCGAGAGACTATAAGGACTGCTGATGTTGGAAGCCAGAATCTATAGGTAGGAGACTGGAAAAGCACAGGTCAGACAGCAGAGGAGCAGGAAAGTCACCATTTCAGGCCAAAACCCTTTATCAGGGCTGGGGAGGGGAAGGGAGCCCAGAAATAAAAAGAGGGAGGGGGTGGCGGCTGGGGGAAGGGTAGAAGAGATGGTGATAGGTGGATGCAGTTATTGTCATTGGTCCGTGGGAAGGGTGGAGCAGATAGGTGAGTATGAAGATGGATGGGTTAGGTCAGGTCTACATGCATCAACAAACCTGACCTTCTGGTTCCCATCCATTTTAAATCCCCCTCCTACTCCCCTGACGATATGTCCATCCTTGGCCTCCTCCACCGTCAGAGTGAGGCCAAATGTAAACTGGAGGACCAACACCTGATATTTCGCCTTGGGAGCTCAAACCCATGGCTTCAACATTGACCTCACCAGCTTCACCCCCAGCTTATCATGTCCAGCTCACCCCCTCCTCCTCACCTCCCTGACCTGACCTAACCTGTCCATTTTCCTACTCCTCGTCAACGTTGACTTTCCTGCTCCTCTGATGCTGTCTGACCTGCTGTGCTTTTCCAGCCTCACACCTATAGACCCCAATGTTCCTGGACCTTTCTTCATTTAACCCAATGTTTCCACAAGTGGTGCTTATACCTCTGCAGAAATATCAACTTTTACTATGAACACAGCTTGACTGATATTCTTCCAGGTTGTTACTCTCCACTTGCAGCCTGACACAGACTCTATGAAGTCCTATTGGCCTGCTTCAATCCCTTTCATTCTATGTATTAAACCAAATCAAGAACTGTATCTGGAAACATGAGGCATTCCAATACCACAGCAGTAAGCATTTTAACAAGGATAACTGTACATTCTGTTCTTCATTTAAATGCATTTTGTGGAAGGCAGGGTTCACCGTGGGTTTAGTCATAACCAGTATAAAATAAATAATACTTAATAAATGCAATGGTTTTCAGTTGATCCCCTTACTACACCATTTCATGATGCTGGTTGACTGGGGCACAGATCTCTTGTTCTGTTTCTCTTGACTAGGTAAAATCATTTCAAGCAACACATGATTAGGATCAAGAATGTGTTATTGATTGATGGTTTTGAGGTACGGTTCTGAATCTGAAGTTAATGACCTGATGGCTAAGGTGACCAAATAGATTGAGCAACAACTTGTAAATCTTTGCAGCCTACACTAATGCTAACAGTAAGAACAGGAAAGATTTCCGGTCATCAACCACATGAGGGAAAGAATTGGAGCTTCTCCCAACCCCAGCCATAGCTCTAGATATACAGTATGCATGTAGAAGGGTCTGCTACCATCAGCAGTTGGCGTGGGTCAGACTGGTGCCAACAGCACAGGATTCAATCCATAATTATGAATCTACTTCTTATCTTTGTCATAGTTGAGGTCAACCCAATATTTCTCAGAATTCTTCTCACATTCCTTGAATGAATGTCACTGCACACCAACTAACTTGTTTGTCCTTGGATATGAAGGGTATGTCTTCCTCCTCAGGTTGAAAATTGCAAACTACAATCCTAGAATCACAAAATGGTGACAACACACAAATAGGATATTCATCCCGTTATGCCGTTGTCAGCTCTCTATGAAAGTAACGCAGCGAGATCCACTCCAGTCTTTTCCCTGTAGACCTCCAATTCTTTTTCTCTTTAGATAATTATCTAATCCCGTTTTTAAAGTCACTATTGAATCAGCCTCTACCAAATTTTCAGACAACACATTCTTGATCCTAATCATATGTTGCTTGAAATGATTTTACCCAGTCAAGAGAAACAGAACAAGAGATCTGTGCCCCAGTCAACCAGCATCATGAAATGGTGTAGTAAGGGGATCAACTGAAAACCATTGCATTTATTAAGTATTATTTATTTTATACTGGTTATGATAAACTTAATAAAATCTTTAAAACTGAAAATTTGTACCTGGAATTGGTCTTATAACTAATCAGGATTAGTAAATTTTAAAATAACACTCAAACTCAGTTTATAATTGTAAGTGACATTGGTCTTACAAGCAACGTTAAAGTGAACCTACGAATCTTAAAACAGTTTTATAAAAGTTCATCATAACTTCTTTGTTTTTGTATTCTATGCTCTGGTCAGTTCTCCAAATGCTCATGCTCTATGACATGCTCTAATGGCGGTTGCCTACTTTCTATGTAGATCTTCCTGATATTTCACCAAAGCACCTTTGAATAAGCATCATTTGGATTTCAAAAGCTATTATTTGCAGAAGTTCTAAGGAAGACAGTGAATTAAAACAAAGACAAAGGAGCAGGTGTATAAGGAATGGTGTACAATGACTGTTCAGAAAATAGATTGTGCTTCTTTTACTTCAAACACTACTCCAGAATAAGTGAATAATCTTACCTCATAAATCCCACCAAATAGTGACATGAATTTACTCAGCAATGCAGCACACATACTTGCAATGTGAACAAAAGGTCCCTATGGATTGGAAGAAGCAAAAAGGTGAAATATGAGTGACACTATTCCATAATCAAAGGTCAAAAATGCAAAATTATGAAAGGAAAAATCAGGAAGGTGTTATGTCATTTGCAGCCACACTTCAGGCCAAGTCCACACCACAAACTAATAAAATATATACAGATATTAGTGCAGCTTGAGGCAATTTCTTCACTACAGCTTTGTAATAAAATATCACATTCTGGAAGGATTTTGAATTAAAAGTTTTGAACGAAGTATACAGTCATGAGATTTTCAATTTTGTGCCAAATTTATACATTAAAAAGTGCATCGTGCTAATTATTTCCAATCTTTTAATTATTCATTCATGGAGTGTTGGCCAGCATTTATTGCCTGTTCCTAGTTGCCTTAAGGAGGTGATGATGAGCTGTCTTCGTGAACTGCTGCAGTCCATGTGCTATAGGTAGACGCACAATGGTATTAAGGAACAAGTCCCAAGATTTTGACCCAATGACAGTGAAATATTTCCAAATGAGGATGATTAGTGAAAGTGGTGGTGTTCCCATGATCTTCTGTCCTTGTCCTTCTAGATGGGGGTGGTCATGGGCTCAGGAAGTGCTGTCTAAATTGGGGAGTTTTTGCAATGCATCTTGTAGGTGGTAGACACTGCCACTACTGCTAATTGGTGATGGAGGCAGTAGATGTTTGTGGATTTGGTACCAATCAAGCAAGTTGCTTTTCCAACTGGTGGTTGGAGTCATAACTGGCACATAGGAAGATGGTTGTTGGATTGTTGGAGGTCAGTCATCTCAGCTCCAGGACATCCCTGCAGGAGTTCTTCAGGGTAGTGTCCTAGGCCCAATCATCTGCACCTGTTTCATCAATAAACTTCCCTGCTTTGTAAGGTCAGAAGTAGGGATGTTTACTTATGATTGAACAATGTTCAGTACCATTCGTGACTCCTCAGATACTGAAGCAGTCCATGTTCAAATTCAACAAGATCTGGGCAATATCCAGGCTTGGGCTGACAAGTGGCAAGTAACATTCATGCCACACAAATGCCAGGCCATGACCATGGTGTAGTACTACGCCAATGAGAAACAATGCCCCTTGGCATTCAATGGTGTTACCATCACTGAATCCCCTTTTATCAACATCCTGGGCTTACCATTGACCAGAAACCCAAATGGACTCATCACATAAACAGAGTGGTTGCAAGAGCAGGAGAGAGGGCAGGCATACTGAGATGAATAACTCACCTCCTGACTCCTCAAAGCCTGTCTACAATCTGCAAGGAACAAGTCAGGAGTGTGATGGAATACTGCCCACTTGCCTGGATGGCTGCAGTTCCAACAACACTCTAGAAGCTTGACTTCATCCAGGACAAACCAGCCCACTTGATTGGCACCATATCCACAAGAACCCACTGCTCCACCACTGACGCTCAGTAGCAGCTGTGCATACTATCCACAAGATGTACTGCAGAAATTCAAAGATCCTCAGACAGCACCTTCCAAATACTTGACCACTTCCATCTAGAAGGACAAGGGCAGCAGATACCTGGGAACACCACCACCTTCAAGTTCTCCTTCAATCCACTCACTGTCCTGACTTGAAAATATATCATCATTCCTTTACTATCACTGGGTCAAAATCCTGGAATTCCCTCCCTGAGGGCATTGTGGGTCAACCCACAGCAGGTGGACTGCAGTAGTTCAAGAAGGCAGCTCACCACCATCTTCTCAAGGGCAACTAGGGATGGGCAATAAATGCTGGCCAGCTAGTGATGCTCACACCCAACAAATGAATAAAAATTAAAAAATGAAAGGCTCAAAAGGCATTCTTCTTTGCACATTATATCCGTTCTTTCATTAGCACAATTAGTGAAAATAACTGATGTATCACTCTAATTCCTTTATTTTAATTGACCACTGTATTCATGAAAGAACATTTAAGTCCAGAGCACAGTAACGGCTACGGTCTATACACGGACAAAGAACTAAATTTAAGAGACTTGGTTGGGAGTGACTGGCCTTTAAATCAAGACAGTATTCAGTCAAGTGTGGCATCAAGTAGCCAGAGCAAAATTTAAAAATTAATGGGAATCATGGGGAGAATATTCCACTGGTTAAAATCAGAGCTAGCACAAAGAAAGATGACTGTGGTCGTTGAAGGCCAATCATCTTTGCTCAAGGTCAATGACTGAAGGAGAACCACAGGGTAGATATTTTCAACATTTTCTAATCAATCTGCTTATAGATGTTGTTTAACCCCTCTGGAATAGGTGGTACTTAAACATGGGTCTCCCAGCTCAGAGGTAGGGTCACTACCACTGCACCACAAGACAGCCTTAGTTCCCCAGGGCAGTGTCCTAGGCCCAACCATCTTCAGCCGTACCATCAATTACCTACCCTTCAATTTAAGGTTAGACTGGCTGATGCATCTGACCCGTTGTAGACACATCTCAATAGGCTGACCCTTCCCAGTGGTTCCAAAAGAGTTATGTACATTTTACACAATTTTCTCCACAGTTAACAATGAATCATCCTTCCAAAAGATCTCTGAATCCCACCCCCAAAAGATATGTGAACCCGATCCTTTCCCAAAGTACCGCTGAATCCCATTCCCTGTGTGTCCTGGGATCATATTGACTGTGCTGGCTCAGCTTTCCAAAGGAGTATCCAGCCTACTCAAAGAAATGTACTGAGAACAGACCTGCTGCAATTTGACCTAAGCTTCACACTCTGGGTTCCAGGTAGCAGGCACTCCAAACTCCAATTTGAATGCCAGCAGCTGATCATTGAAATGGCCAGCTGCCTTTGCAAAATGCACATTGCATGATTGTTCCCAATCACACATAAAAATGGTTCAGAGGCAGAATTTCTAACACTCTGTAACTTTTGCTGCAGAGGGGCTCTTCAATACAGTGAAAATCGAGGCTGTTAACTCACTCAAAACCGATACACAGACATAAATTCGAACCCCTTGTCATAACTGTGGAACTTCTTTTACTTAGGTCATTGAAATCCTGTAATTGGTTCAACTTGAGCATTAAATAAATGTTAAAAAGATGCTTGACTGCAGTGAATTATTCGGAAATGGTTCTGGCTCATTGACTTTTTTAAGCTGATGAAAATTGGCAAGCCGATCATAGGAAAAGAAATCCTGCATCTAATAATACCTCCCAATATCCATCACTCTATTCCACATTGAAACTGTAAAATATTCTTTGTCAAACTGATCTATAAATATTATCAAAAATTAAAAGCAATTTTAGCTTCCTACAGCAGATAATTGCACCAAGATATTTGCTGGATTTGTCGATTAACAGTCATTCTATTGGTTTTACAAAACTAATCATGAGAACACATTGCAATCTGATGAGTAGCATTAGTGATGAAGTTTAAACATTGTATATACATGAGCACTCCAATATTAACATAGCCAGGCTTTGGAACTCTCAGAAATCTCATGATGAGCCAACAGTTAAGATTAGTGTTTGCTAACATTTAGTCTAATCGTGCATTCTTAATCAGAAGAAGTTCCATAAGGTCAGAAATTTTACAAGTTTAGCCGACTGAAGCTTATAAATTGCTAATGCTACTCATCAGATTGCAATGTGTTCTCATGATTAGTTTTATGCACACAAGTCTCCTAGCTCAATTGGGCCAGCTTGTCACAGGAAATCATACATCATCAGCTCACATTTTATTGTGGAAAGAATATAAAGGAAACTGCAACTCAGGTAAGTGGCTACTTCCATAAAGCAGATGCGCAAAACATATATGGAGTTTGCACTGCTGATCCAGAATGTTGGGAAATTAAAAGGCTTTTATAAAAGATTGCAATGAGGCAAACTAGTCATTGGCAAAAAAACAATAGCAGACAAAATGCGTGAGAAATAGGAAATTAGAGTATCTGGTCATTGGTTGCAAGTGGTGCAGCATGCAAACTCGCCCAGCCAAGATGTTGCTATATGAGCAGAGTGTGAAGAGGGCTATTCTGGAAAACGCTGTAACATAGTTGACTAGAGATATGATTTAGGCTTGTATAGTATGAAGCCATGGTACACAAAGGAATCTCTGTCCTTGAGTGAGAGACAATTGTTTACATATGTGGTTTGAGGGCATCCAAAACGCAGAGTAAGATAAGGGAGCAGGTCTCCATGAACTACATGGATAGCTAGTATGGGGATTGAACCCATTGTGTTGGCTTTATGATCTAGTCTTCATGCTGTGTTCATCACCCATTAGACCTGGGAACAACCGCAGAAGAAAACAGAAAGTGTTAAGGAAGCTACTGAACGGCATCATGCTATTATGTATTCCACTGAAAGGTTACTGGGTAATCTGTGGAACATTTAGTTATTTCCAGTACTTTGAGAAATGCTGAACTCAAGCAGTATACTGCTGTTGAATGATGCTCATAATACTTATCAGTAATAAAAATGATAAAGCTGGCTATGTTTATCCAGCATAAATGTCCCTATTCATTTGTACATCAACAGTTTCTATTATAAATATTGGTATGAAAAATTATAATGGAAACATACACATAGAAAAGATTTCTTTTAAATCTACTGCAAATGGCTAGTGTGAATAAATCAAAATAAAGGAAATAGAGTAATAGTTTCATACAGGACAGAAACAGACCCTTCAGTCCAACTCATTCACACTGACCAGACATCCCCATCTGATTCATAGAACATAGAACATAGAACATTACAGCGCAGTACAGGCCCTTCGGCCCTCGATGTTGCGCCGACCTGTGAAACCAATCTGAAGCCCATCTAACCTAAACTATTCCATTATCATCCAGATGTTTATCCAATGACCATTTAAATGCCCTTAAAGTTGGCAAGTCTACTACTTTTGCAGGCAGGGCATTCCACGCCCTTACTACTCTCTGAGTAAAGAACCTACCTCGGACATCTGTCCTATATCTATCACCCTTCAATTTAAAGCTTTGTCCCCTCGTGCTAGCCATCACCATCCGAGGAAAAAGGCTCCCACTGTCCACCC